TTACTACTAGTAAGGCACTTGTTACTAGAAGCGATGCACTTGTTACTGCCAGAAGCCGAAAACTCGGGCCGACGACATCGCAGTACTGCTTGCTCTCCACAGAAACTGCAGGGCCGAGGAGGGGGCTTCCTTGAAGAAGCGCTGGCACTATTCATTTGGTTCCTAGATTTTTAGGAAAACGTAACTAATAGCGCCAGGCGAAGACCAGGAGACCTGCAATGCTTTTTAGAGCGGCTTCACCACCGTCTTATCACTCGATGTTATGGTGAGTGAGGACGGGGATCTAATGGATCCAAACCAGAAGAGAATACTGCACTTGGTGAGGCAGCCGGTTGCGTGGGACCACCATGCGGGACATGGTCCGCGTCTCGCTTTGAACCGGTCGAGACTCCCAGGCATCCACGGACGCGGTATGCCGCCCAATTGAAGTCAAAACCAAAGCAAACAAAGCAGCGTTCTTTGCTCTTAATAGCGTCCTTGCTCCTAGTAGTAAGGCAAGGAGCCCCTAGGAGCGTCCTTGTTCCTAGTAGCGATGCCCTTTGCTCCTAGTAGCGTTCGTTGAATTCGGAACCACTTTGATGTTCCTAGTAGCTTCTTGTTACTACAGGTGAAACGATTCCCAAGGAAGATTTTTGTCACTAGTAGTAATTCGGAACCACTTGGATGTGCTTTGCGATACTCACACTTACAGAAATTGCTTTGCATCCCAACGACCCCTTTAACCTGCGAACGCGACGCGGCACCCTCAGTCTGGAGATACGGGAGTGTTTGTGATGCACGTTTACCAGGGATACTTCGACCTGAAGGGCATCGCTACGAACGGAGCAAGGAAGCTACTAGGGGATCCTGGCCTTACTACTAGGAGCGATCGGACGCTATTAGGAACAAGTGCATCGCTAGTAGTAAGAGGTGCCTTACTAGTAGTAACAAGAAGCTAGTAGAAACAAGTGCAAAAGAGCCCCAAAGCTACCAACTTCACAACGGGCGTTGACGCGAGGGAAGCACTGGACCGTTTCATGAGAGTATGTGCATGCCCGACAGCATTCATAGGGCTACTTAAAGTTTAAAGAAGTATCCGGCGCTGTGTGCCACTTCCTTGCGGAGCTATTTCAGCTATAGCCTGGCTCAATACACGCATAGGAAATCGGGTCCACGAGCAGAAGGAAGATCTGGCTTGGCTTAGATCCATGCATCTTAGTGAGAAAAGAAACGAAAAGAAATAAAGTTTCCAATATGTCGACCTTAAACCCCTTCTTTTTCTTTCTTTCTTCCATCCTTGGCACGTCTTTGACGGAAGCTATAACATTACACGCCTGGCTGCTTCGAAAGTCGAAGAGTGACTAATTGTCTTTGGACGATGTGACGGAAATGCATCACAAATGCGGTTGCTGATTCAGTTTCAGCCCTTTGTGGTTGGACGCCACTGCTGCCACTCTGAATCCACTAAAATGCGGTTTTAGATAGCTTGGCACCTCTTCAAAAGAACCATTGTCTTGCTGAGTTCCCTGAAGGCATCTCCAACCATAGTCGTCAGTGATTAAATTTGCTCATCCCTCACATCCTCGCGTCTCTTGCTACCTTGTTTCTTTCTATACTAGTAGTGGTCCTTGCTTCAAATTGCTGCTAGGTTGGGTATTGCAATATACTACAGTACTTGAACATAACCTTGGCGAATGTGCAAATAGTGGTGGACTTGGTGGAAAGGGTCTGAGAACGCAAAAAAACTTGGGCAAAACACGTTTCCTCCATGGACATGTTACATGTTTGATCTTTTTGGAGAACTCAATGCTCCGCTCTGTTCACTAAAGCTTCATCTTGTTGCAACTCAAACTGTTCCGGTAAGAACGCTACTAGGAGCAAAGGGCATCGCTACTAGGAACAAGGACGCTACTAGGGGCTCCTGGCCTTACTACTAGGAACAAGAAGCTACTCCGGTAGTTTCTCTTCACATGCTTCTCTTCGCCTTCTGTCCGTTGTAGGTCGATAAAATAGAAATCCTCTCCGCAGGGATCCCCATCAAACGCCTTAGTGAATCAGCTCAAATTCCAGAATGAAGACGTGTTTCTTGTACATATTTGTTGAGGTTCCTCCAGTTTGCAAAATATGCTAAAATTATACCGCATGTGGCACTGTTCATCAATGATGGAAAAATATGTGGAACAACTCAGTAAGCCAAGCCGCATATACATAAAGAGTGCCACGCAATATTCTGCCTCCCCCCAAATTTTGGTAGAAGTATGGCGTTGGCTGTGATTCACCGCGACCCTCAAAGTCCTCTACGTTCACGAATTGATACCTGAGCAATGCTACAGAAACACTATTCTCTGGCCTTTATCATCAGGTATGTCAGTCATATGTCAGTTTCTAGTTTTTCGCCATAGCTGCGGATATGTCAGTCCAGCATTTGCATATCTGTACCTGCAATGTCTCGGTGTCACGTTCAAACCATGGCACAGCAAACTCCACGCCTCTCGTCTGTGAGGACATTGGGCAGGTTACCCAAATCACGATATCGCCAGCTGTACAATTCAGCAATGCTCGGCCTGGAGGAAAGACATGGAAAGACCAATTGTACACTTCAGCAATCCGACTATTTCATCATTATCGCGTCCAAGCTTGACCCTGTCAAAACATGCACTATCAATGTTCTCAAAATCACACCGTTTCTTTGTGATGTTCCTTCTTAATCAAACACATGCGTTCTCTTACCAAACTGTGTTTCTTATTGTCACAATCTGGTTTTATGTTCACAGCAAACAAGGAGACTCTACAGTGTATTAAAATACAGAAAGAGATAAAGGAACAATTAGAAGAGTTTGCTACGCATGAACCTTTAGTTGTAGTAGCTTTCACAGGCACTTTCCTGATGACAAATCCCCACACCTCCTCGCTACACTTTGCGCATCACACCATACTTCACGACATCGCATTCACAAATCACAGTGCGTTTCACCACACACAAGTCAGCACACGCACACGCCTTGAACAATTAGAACCCAGCCTCGCCAGAACTTACCAAGACCCAGCCTAGCTCACATAGTGCGCCCACGTGAGGCCAATTTTGTTTCGCAAAAAAGGCACGCTCGATACACAAATTGCGGCCACACATGGGCACTGTAGACCCCTTCCCCCCCAAAGGAGCACCCTTACGATTTTGTGCGCCTGCCACATATGTCATAGTTCGCAGGTGGCCACGTGCAAAAGGCTTTTCCATCATTTTGCATCGGTTGAAATTGCAAAACAAAAAAATTGCAAACAAAACACTGCAAACAAACAAATAACATTAAGCTTCACAAATCCGACATATCTGGCTATCCCAGAAACCCGAACACAAATCCACAAGGCGCAGGATAGTTAATAGTTTCTGCAGTGGACATTATTTTTCTGTTTCCATTTGCTCACTGTTTGTAGCTTTCAATGAGCTTCCTCTCTTTCAGAATCCCAGGTTTGCCTGGCTCTTCCTTGAAGATTCAGGTCCACAGTGGGCGTCTTCAGTCGAACAAAGCGAGCATATAGAGACTGGTCCAAATGACCATACTTCCTCAAAAAGCGAAACGAGAAAGCTCTGTTTGTTCCTCTGCGCATGTTGTTCAACCTGTTCGTTCCAACGTTCCAACTGTTATCCACTCGTTCCAGTCCATGATTCTGGAAGGCCCTGTTCTTCACCACAGGTGGCAGCTGATGGTGGTCACCAATCAACATCACTCTCTTCAACCTCAGAGGTTCAAAGGCCATTGCTATGACAGGTTCTTTTTGCTAGGAACAAGTGCCTCGCTACTAGGAGCAAAGGGCCTTACTAGTAGTAACAAGAAGCTATTAGAAACAATAATTAAAATAGAAACAATAAGCTACTAGGAGCAAAGGGCATCGCTTCTAGGAGCGATCGGACGCTACTAGGGGCTCCTGGCCTTACTACTAGGAGCAAGAAGCTACTAATGGCTCCTGGCCTTACTACTAGGAGCAAAGAAGCGATTGGTTGATGCAGTGTGATGCAGTGCGTGTTGATTCAGCTGAAAGGTGCTAAAACTGTTTTGCTTCTTGCTACTAGTAAGGCCAGGAGCCCCTAGTAGCTTCTTGTTACTACTAGTAAGGCACTTGTTACTAGAAGCGATGCACTTGTTCCTAGTAGTTTCTTGTTACTAGTAAGTAAGGCCAGGAGCGCCCCTAGTAGCGTCCTTGCTCCTAGAAGCGATTCTCTTTGCTCCTAGTAGCTTCTTGCTACTAGTAGTAATGGCCTCCAGCCTACTAGCTTCTTGCTACTAGTTACCTGCTGACTCCGTTCTCCGCATTCTGCAACAACATCGGAATGAACGTCTCAACCTCCAAAATCTGAGCTGACTCCTCCATCAACAGATTGTCCTCAGCTGACTAGGCTGAGGTAGTTATTCAGCTCTCAGATTCTTCTACCAAGGTACGTATTTAAAGGCCAGGTTCACCAATGTAGATCTTGTGAGAGCCGCGTGGGTACAGGTCATGGCAATGATTCGTGCGTGCGTCGTGATGAGGTAGTCACCACGATCGTGACCTAGTGCACCGTCTCGACTGGCCAAACACTTAGTAGCGTCCTGGTTCCTAGTAGCGATGCCAGGAGCCCCGTTCGTAGCGTCCTTTCTCCTAACAGACTTAACCCAAGGCTCAGGCTTCTCCAAATCAAAGTGAGCAAGCAGTCGACTTTTGGTTTTTTTTGGGGGGGCACAGGACCTAGATGTTGTGGTAGACGGGGGTCTAGGACTGTCTAGGAGTCCGGGGACGTGCAAAATAGGCTCAGCTTCTCCCTCATGCCAAGAATAACAAAATAAGCTACCAGTAGCAAGAAGCTAGTAGGCTGGAGGCCATCGCCATTAGGTTGGAGGCCATTACTACTACTAGCAAGAAGCTACTAGTAGCAAGAAGCGATTTAATCAGGCTCTGCCAAAGGCAACATGATTCGAGGTTGTTCCTGTTCAACGGGGGTGGGTATGGCTCTCGAAGGTGTCGGTTCAATGAAAATTGAAAATGTGTTCAAGAATGAATTTGTCAGGTGACTCCAGGTTTTCGCAGGTAAAACGTCAAGCAATATTCTCATTGAAATTCACAATTTCAAGTTCATGCTTCGTCGGAGTTTTTGTGTGCAACCTTTCCTACAGAAGCCTCAGAAATGTCTGGACACCGTTCTTGGCCAGGATGCTATTTCGCAAGAGCTCAAAAGCACGGCACTCCTCAATCTCACTGAACATGTTTTCGAAATACCTGAGGCCAAAAAATGAAACATCGAGCCAGGCGTTTGAATGACTTGAATGCGAAATGTCGAGAATCTGCATTGCAAAATGGAAAGCCAAATGTTTTACAGAGTTTCTAGCGAAAATACAATTTGTTTTGAAGCCACAGCAAACCAAAACTCGAGCTTGCCTAGGTACCTAAAGCATCCTTCTGCGATCTCCAGGTCTGATTCATAGGAGTCTCCAGGAAACAATGGCTGTGGAGCATCTGCAAAGAACTTGCTGAAGGGGAACAACAGGGAAATCACTGTGGTCTCTCCTTTCAACAACCTCAGCTTGAACCCCGCGCTTTGCGCATCATTGCATCGCATTGCGGCACATGCCGCAGGGTTCATCGAGCCAAGCTAGTGCCAAGGGCATCGCTACTAGGAGCAAGGACGCTACTAGTAGCTCCTGGCCATACTACTAGGAGCAAATAGCTTAACAAGTAGCTACTAGGAGCAAAGGGCATTACTACTAGGAGCAAAGGATGTTACGTTCCTAGCGTTAGTGCCAAGGATCTGCTCAGCTACTTTTTTCACCTCTTCGGTGTTTTCTTCTTTCCTGGAAAAAAGGAACAAGTGCATCGCTACTAGTAACAAGTGCCTTACTAGTAGTAACAATGTTTGCTATTAGAAATAAGGATTCAATTAGAAACAATAAGAGTAAAGGGCCTCTTTTCTTCACGCCCCTTTAAGAGGTCCTTTACCCTTTACCTTCTTGTGTGTCTCTTTTGTTTGCTTTTCTTGAGGATACAGGTTGCAAGGCCACGGCATTGCGACTTTCGATGTGCCGCTGCAAGTGGTCGAATGGCAGGACTTGCCTCGACGATCCTTCTGCCTGGAAGGTGCTGAACATGCACAAAATGGTGAGCAGCTTCTTGTTCCTAGTAAGGCCAGGAGCCCCTAGTAGCTTCTTGTTACTACTAGTAAGGCACTTGTTACTAGAAGCGATGCACTTGTTCCTAGTAGTTTCTTGTTACTAGTAAGTAAGGCCAGGAGCCCCTAGTAGCGTCCTTGCTCCTAGTAGCGATGCCCGTTGCTCCTAGCAGCTTCTTTGAAGTGAATGCACGTAAAGTTCAAAACGTCAAGTCCGAACTACCTGCTTCAGCCACAATTGATGTCCTGCCTTTCAAGAAAATCTGGTGCCTGAATTGTAATTTCCATGTTTCTGTCCGTGTTGAGCTCTCATGCTTATGTTGCCCGTTTATTGAAATCTATGTCCTCTTAGTAGTAACAAGAAGCTATTAGGAACAAGTGCATCGCTTCTAGTAACAAGTGCCTTACTAGTAGTAACAAGAATGCTACTAGGGGCTCTATGTCCTTTTGTCATTCCTTCCGCCTCAGCGTCCTCTTCCAGTCGGCGCTTTTTGGTTGCTGGCTTCGACAAAACCTGGCGGAGGCTTCCAGCGGTCGTGAAGCGGATAGAATGGCGTCCTTGTCTGTCTCTGTTCTTCTCAAAACATCTAGGAACATAAATCATGCGAAGGATTTCCTTAAAAAAGCCTGAGAGTTACTCCGTCTCTGGATCTAAAAGCGTTGGCCAATATTTGAAAAAAACAAAGCACAAAACAAATTACTTATGTTTCTCCTGGATTCTCCAAAGAAACGCACTTGTGTCACCAAGTGTTCTTGTATTTTAGCAGCTCGGCTCAACAATGTAACTTTCATAGAGTACTTCTGAATGAATCCCTTCAAGCACTTCAGACTGTCAGAGTGATGGTTGGAGTTCCAAGATGGGTTGACACAGGTTGAGATGGGTATGAAGGGAAGAAAACTAGACAAAGAAAGGTCTAAAAGCCCAAAGAAAAACGGTATTTGTATGCCTTTGTGTCTTTGGGACTGAGACCGGCGGAGATACTTGACTCGGAACCATTTGGGCCTTGTGGATGTTTACCCCGTTCTTGCCGGCGATACTCAGCTTTCGATGAAAGTCTTCCCAGCGGTATTGAACGTGGTGCAGGAAAAAGTGCTGTGCATTCTCACAGGTATATGCCACATCCTGGCCCAAGCCACGGTCAGTGAGAAACAGCTGATGAAAAGGATGCGTTTCAACAAACTTGCTGCAAGTTTTTCTTGCTTTCAACACATCTCCTGGCCAGAGAGGTCGAATGTATTTGCTAGGTGCTCAACTTTTGCAAGGAGCTCCAAGCGTCGCTTTCTGACAGTGCGCTGTCAGTCTCTTTCGCGAAAGAGTGCAAAGCAGTGCCCGAAAAAGACAAGTACCGATGGCCTCCACCTAGTAGCTTCTAGTAACCTCGTCCACCCAATAGCAAAAGGAACCTAGTAGCTTCTCTCTCCTAGTAGTAAGGCCGAAAGCTACTAGTAGCGTCCGATCGCTCCTAGTAGCGATGCCAGGAGCCCCTCGTAGCTTCTAGTAACTAGAAAGCTTCGAAGACATATATCTAGAAAAAGAAATCTAGAAAAGATCTAGCTAGAAAGCCTTATTGCGAGCGGATGTTTGACTCCGAAAGGGGCCTGCAGTCATCGAAGTGGAATGGCTTATCTTTGCCACTCCTCCTTTAGCATCTGAGCGTCTTCAAGCTCATTTGCTAACCTTTAAAAGGGTAAATCGGCAGAATCCATGAAAGGATAGTGTTCGTCCATTCGCTTGTAAATTTCGAGCTTAAGTTCATGATCCTTTTCACGGTCTGCCTTCTGCCATTCCTTCTGTAGGTTGAGCATGTGCTGTTTTGCACGTAATCCCGATCGGGCGCATGCCGAATCATAACCCTTCAACTCTACAAGATCTTCCTGCGTAAGCCAGGCACTTGTCGCCTGATTGATGGTGGGGTCTCTGACCTCCGGAGTGGGCAGATCTTCGTCCGCCCACTCAACTTCCTGGGGTGCCTCGCTCACTTCCATCTGTGGTGCTGCTGCTTCATCTTCACTCTCCGGCTCACGTGGCTCTACAAAACGTAGAGGGATCTGCACTACCTCTCCGCCGTCGAGCCGCACTGTTACGGTTTCCTCTTCACTTTCCTCCTGCATCTCTTCATCCTCCGTGTTGCGATAGGGCCGCAAGTCAATTGGCCCATCGTCTCGCTCATTCTCCTGCTTATAGGCCTTGATCTGGGCGTGGATTCGCCGCAAGTCGAAGCCCTCGTTGGAGCGCTGGATGTAGTTCCAGTGCTGCCAATCCTCTTCACTCACCTCTTCTTTGTTGATGTATCCTGAGGCTTTGATCAGACCTCTATGGATCTTCTGGCTGTAACTCTTCATTTCCTTCATCTCTTCTCGCATGCCTTGTACATAGGCCCTGGTGGACACCCCGTTGACATAGGCACTGTCCTTGGCGTCGGCAATCTTGGTCTTCAACTCCTCGACAATGCCCCAAAGCTTGTACACCGCCCACGCCAGTGGTGCTATCATCAATGCCATAACCACCACAACCATCATCATGATGCCATTGCTCTTCTCCACCTTTTCCTCAAGACCTTCGGTCCTCGATGCCGTGGCCTGCTCAAGACCCCCAACGAGTAGGATCCTGTTCAGCAACTTTGCCAGCTTCTGGATCTTCACCCGGTTCATTCGGCTCTCTTCCATCTTGGTGTACTCCTCCTCACCAAGCTTCTCATCATCTCCACTGCGGGTGTTGCACCAATACAGGATCAGCATGATGCGGTTTCGTGATAGCGGTTTCGTGCCCAAGTCAGCCACATTGTGGAGAGTTCCCACTGCCTTGACTCGAAGCTCCTCCTGAGCCACCAAATCCTGAATCCACAGCAGTTTCCCTGCTATGTGGCGCAGCTTTCCTGGGCCTCGTCGGTCACAGAGATGTAGGGCTGCCGAATTGTCCACCAGACATTCATGGATCACCGCCTCATCCACCAGAAATTCCAAGCACCGCTTGAGATAGATCCCATCAGCTGCTGAGCTCACCAATGCATTGAGCTCTGCTTCGGCTGAGGATAGGGCCACACTCTTCTGTCCTCTTGAACTGGTGAAAATGACCACTCCGTTCAACATGTGAATCGCGGCTGAGGTGGATCGTCGATGACTTTTGGATCCCGACCAATCACTGTCGCTGAAGGTCTCAATGATCCATCTGGCCTCCATAGTGCGACAGATCAGTCCTTGCCCTGGCTCTCCCATCTCTAGGATGCTATGCTGGCCAAGCGTCCCCTTGAGGTAGCCGATGAGTTTTCCCAGTTTCCTCAAGCTGCTGGTCGTCGGAAATGACATAGTTGATGCCAGCTCCTTGATCGTGTAGGAGACATCTGGCCTCTCCTGTGAAAGGTATATCCCGCATCCAACCAGCGAGCGGTACAGGCTTGCCAACTCGGCTTTGAGCTCTACCGAACCATCAGCTTCCAGAACTTCAGGACCACAAGGAAGCTTCTGCACCTTTGCTTTGCCCATTTTCTCCTCATACATCTCGATCATGCTCTCGGCATACTTCCCGGGCATCACCTTCAAACCACCTTCAATTTCCACATAGGTCCTCCTCAAGAACTGGAATGAGCTGCCCTCGCCAGTCAAATGTTGCTCTGATATCTCAAAGCTCTGTTTGAGGTCCGGGATGAACTGCTCCATCACGTAATCCTTCTCTCCAACAAACATCACATCGTCCACGTGAATGAGGAGCATCATCTTGTGGCCAAAACGTCCAAGGCAAGGGTTGATCTCGGAAAGACTGAACTCCCTTGCTTTCAGCCAGTCAGTGAGATAGTCGAACCAAGCTTTGGCTCCAATCCTCTGGCCGGGCAAATTCTTCTTCACCTCAAAGTGACCACTGGCCGTGCTCACCTGTGTAGGGGCTGCTTGAGGGACCTGCAGGAAAGCGTCCTTGATATCCAGGGCACCTAAGGTGTATTCAAGTCCACCATGCTCCTCCTCTGCCTTCTTCATGAGGTAGATGGACGGTAGCAGCCGTAGGGCTTGTCCACCTGTCGCTGGACTGTGAACATCATCACGGCGATCTGTGGCATACTCTCTGGCTACCAGCCTTGATCTCCGCAGACACTGTTTCGGTGCTCCTGGGTCCTTGGTTCTCGGCTTGGCTCTCCAATCCCGCACGAATCTCGTGGTGAAACTCTTGTATCCCTCCAGCCTCTTCTCCATTGGGGCGAGCACTCCAAGCCTCTCCAGCCGCTTCTCCTCCACCTCGTCAGCCAGATCATCAACCCACTTCGGTGGGTCTGGCGGCACTCGATCCAAGGGTGCATCTGACCATAGGGCATCTGGAATCTCCAATGACTGTTCATCTTCCTCCTCATTCTCCTGACTCCACACGGCCATCTCCTCCTCGCCGATGATGTCGTCCATGTGGTAGTAGGACTCGGCTCCCACCTGGGTGACTTCAACTCTCCTCTCCATATTGGTATCTCCCTCATGCCTTGGCCTCTTTGGCTCTGGAGTTGTGTCATCTTCATCTTCTTCACATCAGTCTTCTCCTGCTCCACCATCCCAGCCTTAGATGCCATGCTCCTTGGTGTTGACACTGTTTGGTGAGGCTTTGGGCGCGGATCTGAAGGTGGTTCCTCCTCTCATCGATGACCAGGGGGTTGGATACCTTCACCAACTCCGGAACCTCCTCTTCCACGAAATCCTGCTTCTTGTCCTCGGCCAATTGCAGCTCTGCCAAACTCTTCTGTTCTCCGCCTTCTCGTCCACCATCTTGATTGGGCTCATCCTCCACCAGCTCTCTGGCTTCTTCTCTCTTTCCCGCATAGGACTTCACGAAGGCGAGAATCTCCTGAGCATCAACATCATCCGGGGATACCCCACTGCTCGGTGGTAGAGCTCGACTCATAGGCATGCCCACCATCGATGCCATCCTCTTCGAAGGAACTATCCGGCCTCCAAAGTTCTGCTGGTATTCCCAACTGTAGGCCGTGAACCCCTTGTAGCACATGAGGTTCTTCTTGCTGGCTCCTGACATCCTTCTCAGAGAGCGGCTCAAGTAGACCTTGTTGGCATCACCGATCACCCAGTTGTCCTGGAGCTCCGTCTTTCCCAGGTACATTCCGAGCCTCCATTTTGGGTCAGCCTTGTACCCTTGCTTGGGCTTGCAGTATGCGAAGCAAACCTCCCCAAAGTTGCATAGCTTCCCTTCATAGGCTCGTCCATGTGCCAGTTCAAAGCTCGTAGAGCCATGAAATGGTTGGAAGCGGTTGATCAGCCATGCGCTGTGCCTGCACGCCCAGCTCCAAATAGGATGTTGGCTTTGGAATCGAAGCTCAATCTGCTCGGTCAGATTCTCCATCAAAGTTGCTGCCAAACTCCTAATCCGCTGGATGGCGTTCTCCACAAGCCCATTGCCCGCTGAGTCATAGATCTTGGTGGTCCTCATAGTTGTCTTCAAGCCCATTGATGACCTTGCCGTCACTAAGAGCTTGAGGATCTGCCGCAAAGTCGGCTCGTTGTCACTGTAATACTGGACCTCCTCGTGGCCTAAGACCTGGGTGAAGGCCAGCAACTCATGGGTGATGAGGCTCATTTGATTCTTGGACTTCACCGGCAGGGCTAGCAAATACCCTGTTTGTGAGCACACCGCCACCATCAGCAATGCCCCTCGCTCAGCTTCCAGCCCAGCCTGGGCCCCATCCTCTTCCTCTTCACCAAGTGCTCCTGAGCCTGAGGCTTTCACATAGCAGAAGTCGAACGATATAGTTGGGCATCCTTGCTCATGGGCCTTGCCAGCCCTCCTGCGCTGGTCTTGACGTGCTCGATGTTTCAAGCAGGCGGTGCACCAGGCTTCATACGGAAGATGAGTGAGTTCATGTTGGCGCCTCTCCTCAACCGTTGGCTCTCTTGCGGAAACCTGCTCCAATGGAATGCGCTGGTCCATAGCCCGTCCCTGAGCGGCCAAGTCCCTGGCCATGAGCAGCTCCAATTGGTGTTGGTGCGACATCAACCGATTGAAGCACTTCTGTTTTCCCCCGCTCTGGCCAATCCGATAGAAGGCGCTTGCAGCACGAAGACTTCGAAGGGGGCTATCCAAAGTGAGCACCACACCGTTCACCTGGATCTGGGATGGCAATGCAACACCAACCTCAAGTCGGGCCTCCTGGTCCTCTAGGCCAACTCCCTCTTGACCTTCTCCTCCAGGAATGTCCATGCCCTCAACTTCTTCCTCCACAGCTGCTTCAGGCACTGCCAATTCCTCCATGCCCTCAGGATCTGCTCTGAAGTGGAAACCATCCATCACCTCAAATCCAAAGGTCTCGGGCGCCGTCCCTCTTTGGGCAATGAGCGTGATGACCCTGCCCATCTCTTCCTCCTTGAGCTCCTCAATGGGTTCCTCCTGCTCCCACAAACCGTCGAGTGGTTCGGCCATCTCAACCAGCTCCCATTGTCCACGGCGCTCAACCAAAGTCGACCTGCAAAAGCCCTCACTCTGGTTCCTGAACTCCAGCACGAACTGGGGTGTTTGATAGTGGCGGCTTGAGTGCAATCCCAACCAAAAGTGCTCCTTCTTCTTCCATCCATACTGCCCCACTGCCGCCTCTTGTAGCTCTTGACCAAGCTTCACCCTCAGCGTGCGAATCATGCCAGGCTCGTGGATCATTCGGATCGCTGCTCGAACCACAAGGCTTTGGTTCTGAAACGCCAAAGGGACCTCAATCTCGTCGTGCTTGAGGCACTGGGTATCACCATCGATCGACCATCCAGTCCTCAACAAGCGCCCATAGGAGAGAATGGGTTGACTCACCACGTCTGAAAAGGTCACCCGCTCCTTGATGATCACTTCTCTCCCATCCTTGGCATGCATCACGATGTCCACATCGCTGTGGCCATAGGTCTTGATCTTCGTGCCTTGGGCATCCTGGAGGTACGGGCATGCTCCACTGGTTGGAATGCCTCTGTCCATCAAACGTCCTGGAAACAGCGAGGCGTCAGCCCCAGAATCCAGGATCACATTGACCGTCTCCTCAACCTTCGGCACCTCATTCTCAATCTCCATGCTGTCATACTGCTGGACCGTGTTGATGGCGTAGCCATGGTCCTCCTCATCTTCTGCCTCATCGTCGGTGGCAATGCTGTAGTACTCCACCGAGGACTTGGGGCTCTCCTGAACCATCCTGATCGAGCCAGTCAGCGATGTCTCTCTCAGATCAAAAACTGCTGGCTGTGAAACACGGCGAATTGCCTTCTGTGAAACATCTCCACCACTCGTAGTGCTTGCCGTCGCTGTGGATGGAGTAGACCCATGCTGGCTAGTGGAGCTCAAGCTCTGAGTCGGTGGAGCCTCCACTTGACGTACTCGCCAGCAATCTTTCGACAGGTGGCCTGGCTTTCCGCATGTCCAGCACACCTCTGTAGTGTTCTTTCCTTTTCTTCCCTTCTCTTTGCCCCCTTTTCCTTTTCCACTCTTGCCTCCGCCCTCTGACTTCCCTTTGCCCTTGTCTTTGCCCTTCTCTGATTTGCCCTTGCTCTTGCCCTTCTGTTCTTTCCCTTTTGACTTGCCCTTGTCTTTTCCCTTCTGCTGAAGACGATCCACCTCCATAGGCATAGGGCCCTGGTCTGCACCTGAAGACATAGGGCTTGAGAATGACAATGCACCTGACTCGTTCCATTTCGTAGTGGCATTGTCGAAGGCGATGATGGCCTCTCGAATTTGGGTGTAGGTGGATCCTTCGTTGAGGGCAAGATTCAAGTGAACTTTCATCTGACCTCCCACCGAGCGTAGCAGGATGGCCGCCTTCATGTCCGGGCTAAGCTTACCTCCCAGCTTCTCATACTGGTAGTAGTGCTCTTCCAGCTTCAAGATCTGGGGCAGCAAGGAGGTCCGCATATTGAAGCTCGGGTAGGCCATGATGCCTTGGAGCAAACTCAAAGTCCTGTTCCTGGCATTCGGCTGGCAATTGGCCAGGAGTTGACGCAGCGCTTCATAGCCATTGAACTGCTCCACATTTCGAATCAGGCCCATCAGCCTGCCCTGAACCAAGCTACCCAGGAGGCTGTAGAGGAAGCGTCCGCGTTGTTGCTCAGGTTCTGAAAGCAAATCCCAGTCCACCTCGACGTTGAGGTTATTCTCGATCCTGTCAACTTCCTCCTGGTAGGATCCATCCACCACCAGAAGGTATTGTTTGAATCCCCAATACCAGTCCCTCCATTGCAACACCTCCTGCTCCCTGTCGATGGGACTGAAGCTGTTTGGACGGGGTATGAGCTTTGCCAAGTCTCATTTCGAGCTTCCTGACGATGAACCTTCTCCTCCTCCTTGGGCTTGAGCTGCATTCACACTTGCAGCCGCTTGTGCAGCTTGGGTGGCCGACTGTGCAGCCTGGATCAACGCCTGGGTCAACTCGACCGCCGCTCCTCCAGCCAAACCAGGATCAGAGCCGTCCATTTGTCACCTTTCTCCTCTCCAAGGGCGTCCTCAAAGAAGATGAGATAGGGCCGTCAGGTGATCCTCAGTCAACCTGTTATACTCAAAGATGTGGGCAAAGGGGTACCTCAAGGTGCTTTGATCTCCAGGTTCAAATAGCCTCACGCACCGAGGGCGAGCAACCTGCCACACTAGTTCTATGAACCGGCACGGTCGCAGCTAGGACAGGGGCGCGAAGGGATATGGGTTTGTGTCGTTGAATCCGCCGCCGGAGCTCACAGGAGATGCAACGCAAATCCTGATCCCTGCTCCGCTACCATGCGAGCGGATGTTTGACTCCGAAAGGGGCCTGCAGTCATCGAAGTGGAATGGCTTATCTTTGCCACTTATATATGATTGTTACTAGTAGCTTCTTGTTCCTGGTCCTAGTAGTATGGCCAGGAGCCCCTAGTAGCTTCGAAGACATACTAAAAAGCGTCTTGTTACTGCAGGTGAAAGGATTCCCAGTGAAACGATTCCAAAGGAAACTTCGAGTTACTAGTAGCTTCAAAGACATCCTAAAAAAATCCACGGCCAAAAAAAGAAAAAGCAAAAGGAGCTTTTGATGTGAAATCCCTCTAGCTTTGGTTCTACAGGCTTGCGCCCTGACCTTTGTGCGACTGAGGCCCTTGCAACATGTGGTTGACACGCCCCCACTTGCTAAAATCCTGCTTGGCATCCAACTCCTGCAAGCCAAAGCATTCTTCTCACTCCGGTCGCATTGCAAGGCACTTTGGACCTAAAGCCTTGCATACTTTGCTTTGAAACAAAACACTCTTGCAAGCAGTAAGGCAGGTGCCTTCTAAAGATGTAAGTTAAGTTTCCCTAAAAATCTAGGAACCAATCATTAGGCGGCCGGGGGGAGCTTCCTTGAAGAAGCGTGAGCTATCCCGCGTCCTAGGTAGTAGCTACCTAGCTGTTGCTAGCTACCTCTAGCTACATGTACTAGCTAACCTACCTCCCTCACCTCTAGCGGCCTACCCCCCAAAAAAATATAGCTCCACAGCCAGTTTCCCCAAGGCCCATTCCAGTCGTGTCCTCAATGCCACGACCCAATCTCAGAAGATATCTTTCTGGGATATCCAGGGCCACAATCTTCTCGAAGAGATCATTCAAGGCTTGGTTGGAGTGGGCCACCAAGACTATCTTCTGATCCGGAAAATTGTGGAAGAGCAAATTTACCACCTAGCAAAAGCACTTGCAGGTGCAGAAAAGCCTTAAAAAACAGTTCGAAAAGCACCTGCACAGCGAAAAGCGCCTGCACCGCCGTGTCAGTCTTCCCAGTGCCGGGAGGACCCACCACCATTGTGAGACCAGGATTCACACCAGACCGGATGGCTTCGACTTGGACAGGAGTAAACCGGATGGAATTCTCTCGAGGCCTCAGATGGATAGCCTGGATAGCCTATATAAATCTGCAGAAAAAATAACAAACAAAAGTCTCAGAAAACGGCTCTTGGCTTAAAGAAAATACGAAGGAACATGAACATACGAATTCATGTCACAAGACGTATCACACATATTCACAAATAACAGTTTGCTTGCTTTCGTGGATTGGTTCCACAATTTCATTCTCTGAGGTCAACGCTTGCATTCAGGATAAGGACCCATATTTGGAAGTGAATACGCAGAGGCTTTCACTCCTTGGCTTTGAAAAGCATTTTCCAAACAGAGCGTGATGTGCAACTTTGACCGCTTTCGCAAAGGCAAAAACAGGTGTTGCAGAACTAATGCAAAAGGCTTCTGTCTAAGCTACATTTTTGCTATCCCAAATCATGCAAAAAATGATGATGAAAACCAACAATGTTTTCGAGATCATTAATCCTGGATGTAACATGTCTAACATGTCAAAAACAAATAAACAACACTAAAACTCGATTGTGGCAAGTAGACCACCTATGCCGATGTCAACTTACCACAAAGGGTCATCACAAAAGTGGAGATTTGGCGCCAACTCCGCAATGAAACTAGCGTCAAGATGGCCCCTTTGCAAACAAGCAAGAAAGCTTCCGCTTGTGAAGGGTGAATTGTGGTGGGAAGGATTCGGGAACAGCCTAGTTCGGCAAATCGTTGACCAAATGGACAAATCGAGGACCTAGCATGGCTGACCACGGCTGACCAAATCCCACGGTACGAAGCAAAAGGCACTTTGTCAAGTGCCAAATTGTACTTCGAAGCTTTCTGCAGATTCAGAATCTTTCTATGGGTCGCTTTCCAGGTTCGGTCTTCTCTGTGACCTTTTCGAAGCTCAAGCGGAAGGGCCGCTGCAAATTCTCTGGCACATCAACGTCATCGGCATCTGGAAATGATTCCTGAACAAAAAAACAAGAAAAAGAACTTGCAAGGTTGTTGTGACTGCAGGGTTCTTGTAGCATCTTGTAGCTAGGGCTCGAGAATATGATCATCATCAAGAAAGGTGTCTCCTTCAGGTCAAGTGATCCAAGCCAGTGACACTGTCAAGTGACGTCAAAGAACCTCTTTGCGTTTAGCTTGTGAAACTTGTGGCTTTTACATTGTCAAGGAAGTGTTCTTGTTGAACACCTAAGAGGAAAGTGGAAGTGGAAGCCATCACTTGGCTTTCACAAGAGAGCAAACACCTTTTGAATCCAATTCCATGCTTTAGTCACTTTCGTCACTACCCTCAAATTTGACAAGTCTCTGAAGTCAATTTCGTTCAGCGCAGTCGGCAATTTCCAGTACTGTGCAGCTCCAGGGTCACCATAACCCAGGAACAAATCATGCAGCCAGTCCTCGATGCGCACGGGGGTAGCACCGACCTCCAACCTACTCTTTCGAAATATGTCATTGTCGTTTGAACCGTCAGGAATACAGTAGTGACATAAAACGTCTCATTGTTGAATCTGGTTCATGGTTGTCCTCCTATGCAAAACCAAGATGCAGGAACAACCGTGTCTTCATTGTTCATGAGGCTCCTGCAAGCATGCTGCTCTTGGTGATAAGAGCATCCACCACTTTCTCTGCTCACATCAGTTCAAACCCGACGCTTTCTATCTGACGTTCATCCTCGCTGAGGGTGAAAAGCACAAAAACAAAACTCAGCTGCTTTGCCCAACCTGATGGTGTGGAGAATAGCTTTGAAGTTGTTCTCCTTCCTCAGCATGGACGAAAGGAGCCACCGTGGAGAACATTGTCGTTTGTGTGGTATTGCAATGTTATTAATGGTGCTTCTCATCATGTCCGCAGGGTCACCCCGTCGTGTTATACGTATGAGACGGAGGTACATAACTTCAGAGCGTTGGAAGGCAACACGTTATGCTTTCTAGTAGTAAGGCACTTGTTACTAGTAGCAAACATTGTTACTACTAGTAAGGCACTTGTTACTACTAGCGTGGCACTTGTTACTAGTCGACATTTTTGTTACTACGGAAACTCTGTTACTTCGTCGAAAGAGTTGCCCCCGTGTGTGCATCATCGACCTTCATTCTAACGCTTGGTCAAAAACGTTGTGAGACTTAAACATTTCAAGTCTTCATTTACGGCGGGGTCTAAATGGAATGGACCGGTGAATCTCGGTAGGTAAACTGCGCAGTGGAGGCATGACTCCTGTCGGAGTGTGTGGAAGGAGCAGAATGTAGGCCTTGTTGGCGTACTGCTTCGTTCACCAAGGCTTGTCACCCGTGGAAACCTACGTCACAGGGATTCCGCAGGATGCCACCTTTTTAGGATGGAGCTTAGAACCCAGGGAATCCGAACGACACAACCAAGTCAATGTTCCAATTCCACTTGATGAACTAAGAGAACTTCATGCATCTGTTTCTCTGTTTTGGCTGCAACTAATCTCTCTTTGAACTCACCAATCAAGTCTTTGCTGATGGGTTAGCCTGACTTCTTACCAAGAAGTTTGCCAATTCTATTATGGTTGTTGTTTTGCAGCTGGCAGCTTGATGTTTCTTTTTGCTGGCGAACCTTGAAAGGTTTTGCCGCCAGTTTTTGGGCCATCGGAAACAAAGGAAGCAAAGAAAGACCTTGTTAACCTCCCATGGCGGGAAGGGGGGCGGTTTACTATTCGGGGGCGGGCATTGTCAATCAATCAAAAAAATGCTTCTGCTTTTGTTTCACTCATTCATCTCACGTCTGCGAAGGCTTTGGTACGTGCCCACCTTTGAAGAAACAAGGCAAAAAAGAAGGCTTAGAGGTGCTTGAAAATGAGATGAGCATCGGCTTCCTCCTCATGATCAAATTCAGAGTGCTATATATTTCCTGCTTGCCATTCGCCATAGCTTCCAAGTCCTCTGTTCGGTCCATGGCATCACAAGGTGCTCTTTCAGAGGAACAAATAGAAAAAACACAAGACACAATACTAGTAGTAAGGCACTTGTTTCTAATAGCTTCTTGTTACTACTAGTAAGGCACCTGTTACTACTAGCGTGGCACTTGTTTCTACTATGAAAAACTAACATAAGTGAATGTTCAAGGACAAATGAACTCCCTGAACGAAGCAATGAAAGCCGTCGCCTGATGGTATTGAGCTGGATCAAGCAAGACTCTGGCTACTCGTCCATCTCCGACAGGCGTCTTGCGCTCTGCCGGATTTGGGTCACTGAGGACATTGCCTCGACAAGAAGCTACTAGTAACAAAAGGGCATCGCTACTAGGAGCAAGGACGCTCCTAGTAGCTCCTGGCATTACTACTAGTAACAAGAAGCTACTTATGCTTTCGAAACAACGACAGTGAGGTGTTCATTGTGCAGAGTTGGCACTTCAACTCTGTCCACTGTGCCAAAAGGAAACAACACAACTCTGCTACCTTCGTCGTCAAGCAATTCTGTGATCTCCTCAGAAATGTGCTGGGAGAATGGATGGAACTAGACTTTTGACAAGAAAGAAACAGATTTGAGCAAAGGTCTTTGAGCCCCTTAATAACGGATGTCTAATTTGACGAGATCGAAGCACTTATTTTGCTCATCTCTCTTTTCTTCCATTTGCTGACGTGACTACCGCTTGACTCTGGGTTTGTGGCAGCTCCACGGACATACACCACACCTGCAGTTCTTTTTGCAGGTGTAAAAACAGCAATTGTTGAATTCTAAAGTTGGAGGCGATCGCTAGTAGGTTCCTTTTGCTACTAGGAGCAAAGGGCATCGCTACTAGGAGCAAGGACGCTACTGGGGGGCTCGTGGCATCGCTACTAGGAACCAGAACGCTACTAGGAGTATTTGTTCTTACTTGTTTGATCGTTTGCACTTCTCTGAGAACTCCTCCAAGGTCATGACCAAACTTCTCGGGAAACTCAGTCACTGTGAGCTCCGACACTTTTCCGTCAAAGGGTTGCTCAGGTGCTTGGATCCTGTCCGGCTAAACCATTTAATAGGTTTAGTTCGACGCCCAAGAAGCAAAAGAAAATATAACAATAGAATATTCCTACGACACAAATCTGCTACCAAATGGTTAAGAATATCCAAGAGTGAGCTTTGCATTGCAAAGAACCTGATAAGGAAGATGACATCATGCTCCCTGAGGGTGTCCCACTCTTCACGGATGTGCCTTGGAGCGAAACAGAACGGACAAAGTGCCTTTTCGCTTCTCACTTAAATAGCGTCCTAGTAAGGCCAGGAGCTACTAGGAGCGTCCTTGCTCCTAGTAGCGATGCCAGGAGCCCGTAGTAGCTTCTTGTTTCCCAATATTGGTTTCTCACTTGTCCTTGCTTTCTTTCACAGTTGCAGCATGTTGCAGCTAGATTTTCTGCACATCCACGTTTTTCAGAGCCTGACGGTAATGTTCCAGTGAGAGACCATCGTACCTCTGCCCGTACTTCAGATGGCACCTCATCTCCAACTTTCGGTCTTTTCACCTCAGAGTTTCCGAAACTCGTCATTCTAGTAGTAACAAGAGCTAGTAGTAACAAGTGCCTTACTAGTAGTAACAGGTGCCTTACTAGTAGTAACAAGAAGCTATTAGAAACAAGAAACTAGGGTGGAGGCCATCGCAGGTCCATGAAAAAGAAGATCGTGTGCACACGGCGTAGACTACATTTGCGCATTCCACAGGTGTGAGTCTTAGAGCACCTGAAGAGTGTGGAATGTGACACCTATCCTTCTTGTTACTAGTAACTTCTTGCTACTAGTAGTAATGGCCTCCACCCTAGTAGCTTCTTGTATATGTATACACAGAATGGCCCATGTGACGATGAGGGACAGATTTAAAGTGACAATTCTCCACAAGCAGGTCCCCGTGGCGTAAGGGGCGCCAATCAAAAAGGCCGCTCTGGGCTCAAAAGGCTTCCAATATAGTAGCGAAAAAGCTCCTAGTAGTATCTTGCTCCTAGTAGTAAGGCCAGGAGCCCCTAGTAGCTTCTTGTTAGTAGCTGTCCAATACATGCGAATGGGCTGCGCTGGGTGGTACGGAGTGGCACTCTGTGGCACGGTTCGTTTCATCCGTTCTTCCCCGTGGCCGTGCTGTCATGAACTAGAACACAAAGCATTTTTCGTTGACTAATCTTAAGTTGCCTGTTTGCTGTTGTTGTTTCTTCTCTTTTCATATTTAGACCTTTAAACCTGTCTTTGTATCCTTCCTTTCAGAATTGCATGTGCACATTGGGGAAGCAAGTTCCAGGGTTGAATAATCGAACCGACGCAGGAAGCCGTGTCTGTCGTGCAGAACAGGAAACAACACCACACCTACACCACATATGCACCAAATGCAAGTTTATCGCGTCTGACGGTCTATTCTCCCTGCGCAGTGCCCCTACCCTAAATGTTGTGTTTTTTTGAAACGAAAGGAAAGGAAGTTTAAAAAAAAGGAACAATGAAAAAGGAACAATGGCAGAAATGAAGGAAAGAAAGGAAAGGAATGACAGAATTATTTGCAATCCTTCCTTCCTTCTTTATTTATGAATGAAAAGAATTGTTTGCAATTGGAAGAGAGAGGTCTCGGTGCGAATTGTCCTTCATATTCTCCTGCAGCGGACCTTCTCTCACATCTGTGGAGCCAAAACACAGCCGTTGGAGCCCATCGCTACCAGTAACAAGACGCAACGGTGAAAGAAAGCGTGCAAGGAACGAAGACAAGTGAGAAACCGAACGGAAACAAGAAGCTACTAGGAACAAGGGCATCGCTACTAGGGGCTCCTGGCATCGCTACTAGTAACCCGTTAGTAGCAAGGACGCTACTAGGTTGGAGGCTATTGCTATTGGGTTCACTCCAAGCCTGGCCTAGTCATAGTCCTGTTGGCTATGCGCGAAACAGCACAAACACAAAGGTGCGCAAGAAACACGCACATATACACCCGCGCACGAGCATCACTCATCTGTATTTACTTCCTTGGGAAAAGAGCGCATCACACATCCATGCTTATATGATTGTCAAAAGAAGCATCTAATAATCGTTGGCCGCTCTACCCTTTCAGTGGGTATCGAAACTGCTGTCTCAAAACCCTGCGGACGCTGGTCGCTGGCCGGTTTTGTCCCCCAAAAGGGGGGTCGTCAGAAGCACCAGGCCATTTGCTCATTCTTTTGTCATATATAGTAGCGATGGCCTCCACCCTAGTAGCGATGGCCTCCCACCTCCAATAATCCAATATGTGTCTCCAACAATGTGACGAGAAGCCCGAGTGTCCGCCTTCTTGAAATATTTCTTGTACAAAAGGGGGGCCTTTAACTATCAACTTGTGATTCAGTAGCCCGATCAAAACGTTTGCTGACAAGCAAATCCAACATGGAAAACCTGCAAAGGTGTGTACATCAATAAAGCCGAGCTGGTCTGTGAAACTCCAAGCTGAAAAGCTGTTGAGACACGTTCATGACTTCCAGGCCGGCCAATGGGATTGCCATTCGCGCCGAACCAGAAAAATAAGTTCCTGCACAGTGACAATGTTCAACACTTCCCTTGAAAAGCTAGGCAAGAATCCCTTTTGTTCCTTGATCTTGGTCGGCAGAGGCTCTCATCCTGCAATTCTTTCAAGAACGTTGCTTTGAACCTAAACCAAAACGCGGTTTGCTAACACTTGGCTCCTTGGAATCTGGTCTTGAAGATCATCTCGGATCTCGTGTGTTGACTCTAACCGAAACAGATTGAAGTTGCGCAACAAGTAGTCCTCAGCAGGATGTGCACCAGCAAACTGATTACAGCTTTCCGAAAGACTCGAGCTTGCAATGAAAAATGTTTGTGCTTCGTTTACTTCGAGACTCTGTCCTGTCTACGCATTCAGATGCGTTTCCCGTTTGCTAGTTTAGAAATTATGCTTAGCAGTCATAAAGTGACCAGAACGCACAATACAATCAACTCATCCTCTTTGTCATACGAAAATTCCCTTTGGCCCGCGAGCTTTGGAGGGTCTAACATTGTAGTGTTGTTGAAATCTTGCCTTGCCTAAGGTTCCGTCTTAGGATCCTCCTGTTGTCACACCAAAAAAAAATGAGCAGGAGTGAATTGGCGTGAGGTGAATCTAAATGCTAGATTTTTGGTGAATAACAATATTCCGTTCAAACTCAAGTTTTTGGAGGAGACGGAACAAGATGGAAGGAGTCAGGTGGGGACATGGAAAAAAAATAAACATATTAAACTGTGACAATCACATCCAGGGAACATGAATGGTGAGAAACTGGAGGTTCAACTTGGGCAACGCCAAAGAATAGTCACCTGCAGTGACAATAAGTTGCAACCATACAGCCATAATTCTTTGCTCATGAGATTGCTCAGAGCCTGAGTAGTGTTCCTCTGGAACCAAGTTGGGATCCCAAATGAGATCCTCTGTGGGGTAGAGCGGCATCTTCATAACATCATCTTGCCTTTCGAAAGGCTTGTCAAAACACAGTTTTTTAAAACAACTTGCCAAAATCACATTGAAATCTCGCAATGGCTTCCAAGTTGCTGCATCACAGGACGTTCCAACCTATTCACCAAGATCTCGACTAAAAGTTCGCACAGTCTCTTCTCTTCCTCTGTCTTCACCTTGGCCAACAACCAGTTCAGTGTGTTTGCAAGCATTGTGAGGTAGTGCATATGTGTGTTAATTGTTTCAACAACCCTTAGTAAGCCTGAGTTTTTTTCCTGCTACGTTATTGAACATTGGAAACACAGTGGACGAACTTGTGCTCCAATAGTTTTAATACTTACGTCCGAGGAAAGAAGAACGCTGGCAATAATTGTTGCTCGCAAGCGCTCGGAAAAAAAAACGAAAAGCAAACAGAAGTCAAAGAGTGAAAAATGAAAACAGTATGAAAAGTAGCATACGCCTAAAACCTCTTCGCGAAAATATGGAAAGGACTCAAAGGATTAACATCTTTTTGAGCACTTAGCAAAGTCCTTAGCATCTTTTCTGCAAAAAAAAATTGTTGAAGCATTTCCTGTCTTGAAGGTCACTACCTCCGCTCATCGCATTGGGGCTGTCAATTCGTGCGAAACTGTGTGTGGCCAGCAGCGCTCGCTGCAATCAACGGGCCTTTCCGCCTTTCCAGTTTGATCACTACGCAAAGCTGCTAGCTACGTCTTCTGTAAGAAAATGCGGGACAAAGGCCAGATGCCGAAACTAACACTTTTTCTCTTCACTCAAAAGCTGCACAGCAGCACGACAGCGACGCGAAGCCTATTCGACTTCGAACCAGGAGGGCTCTGGCGAGCGGGTAAGCAAACTGACAGCCAAGGCCTAGGCCTCCATGGATGAACACGCAATGCTGCATCCTCTTTCACACACGTCCTCATCCGTAGCGTCGGCCAACACATCCCATCTTTGTCGAATCGCCGGCCAACATCATCTGGGCCATCTCTCCACTGCTTTTCTGAGCCAGTTGAACTGTCAACCAACAAATTTCTTCAAAGTGACGCAGGGTCCGGTGATGGCTTGAGGGCTTAGGAATGCGGTGGGGGTAGTAGCTCAAGACCATTGCGTTCTCAGTCATACTCGTAGCGTCCTGCGTAGCGGACAGCATTGCCACATTCTGTTGCCATGGCAATCAATACCAATAGCAGGTTCCTTGCGTCGGGCCACGGCCGTCTTCTCGAAGTCCTTGCGCCAGATGCGCCTGGCGCAGTGGTACTGCGTGTCTGCTTCACAAATTGATGAAGCATTCGGAAGCGGTTCAACTGCTGACTTGCCTGTGACCTGGCGCCGTTCTCAGCCTCAAGGGCCCAGTCATATTCCGGGGCTGAGGCATTCTCAGCAATGTCATGCGCAGTGAGATTCTCAAGCTCATGGGCTAAATCGCGCGATAAGACTGGGACAGCGTGGTCTTGCCAATTGGGATCACTTCGGCGGCGTCAAGGAAAAAGTATTGCCCCACTCTCCTCAGCTGCATAGCTTGCAACAATGGCCTGTCACTCCTTCCTCGCGCTTTGGCAAAAAGGTCGGCGAAACTCTTCGAAGTTGTTGATTCGAGCTGGACCTCTGCCTCTTCTTCACACTCAATCTGGTCGTGGAGCGCGAAGAAGGTTCGCGTAGAACTTGTCAGGGATCTCATCCTCCTCCGGGTGAGATCGCCTTTGAAGAAGGCATCACCAGTGCGTTCAGTTCAGCCGTCTCCAGTGTCTTGATGTGTGGCGGCCAGAACTTGCAGTGGACTTCCACTTGCACCATGTTTGACAGACTTCAGTAAAGTTTCGAAGGCCGCCGCTGGCCCCATGCTAATCTCTTCTGGCAATAGGCTTCCCAGTAGCCTGCGGCTGTACGCGCAAAGCATGGCTGAACAACTGAAAATGACCACCTGCCAGCGCTCTCAACTGCTCACAGTGGTCCAGGCCGGAGATCACAGCATCATGCTCCAGCAGCACCATGATTCCAGCAGTCAACTGAAATCTTGTTCCCTGCGAACACTCTATTGTTGCATTGTCTCTTGGGGCTGTATGGTTTTGAGCACATTCCAACTAATTCTTCCTCTGCACGTGTCCACAATTCTAACAGAGTTCCAAGCAGTTAGCACCCATCCAACACATAAACCTCATCATCGAGAAGCTTTGCGAACACCCCACACGCGCGAACATAGCTCAATGATGCTCTCATGTTTCGAGTGCTCTTTGCCCAACGGATCTTGCTCATGAACTTGTCACCCGCTATCTCAACAGTATGTGCCCTTCTGATCTTCCACTTGTTGTCCAAGGCTACCTCGCTGCCAGGGTTGTAGTAGTGGACCTGCTGCACAAAGCTGTCTCCTGTACCTCCAGCAATGCAGGCCAGCAACAAAGCTCTAGAATCCAAAAGCCAGTAGCCCTGCTCCCTTGGAGCACCGTGAAAGCGTCGTCGTGGTGGCGAGTGTCGTGGCGAGTGTCGTGGGTACGGAGCGCGGTTCTTACGACCAGCGCTCCGCTACCATGCGAAGCAAATGGTGTCTTTTATCACAGCCTTGGGCCTAGTAAAATGCGGTCCATGTTTTTGGGTTTGTTCGTGTCATCCTGCGTGGGTGGCTGTCTTTATGGTGCTGCAACATCTGACAAAAGAAGAAACACGTCGTTGCCGGTTTTTTAACGATACAATGATTTTGAGGTCCTTTGGTGGGAAGCGAGTGCTCGGGTGGCAAGCGAGTTCGATGCACTGCTCGCTTCACTGTTTGGCTGCTTGCTGTATTCCACTTCTTGCTGCTGTATTGCAAACGCTGGAGCAGTTTTATATTGCCATGTTGCTGTGCTCTGCTTGTTTGACCCTCCTTGAATTTCTGTGCCATGCTGCCTTTTCTTGAGGCATACAAAAAGGATGTATCCTCGGCTTCCAAGCAGGACTTGATCCTCTTGCATGGGCTCTTCAGCTTGACCAACGCTCGGGCTGCATGTCAGAACTTCCAAGTTGCAAAGGGTTGGTCAAGCGGCGCGTGCTGAGCGTGCACCATGGTACTTCGGTGGAGATCGGGGACTGTATTTTTTGCGCAGTTGATTTTAAATTAACTAATAGCTTCTTGTTACTACTAGTAAGGCACTTGTTACTACTAGC